ATATACACACACATTGCACCCTCTACTACTAATTGTGTATATGTTTATGTATGGATAATTTATACATGTTAGAGGATGTTCCATGAGGGCAGAGATTTTAGCCTGCATTGTTTTTACTGTGTCCGTAATCCTTATAACAGTACTAGGCATATAATAGGGGCTCAGTCAATATTTGCTTGAATGCCTGAATGACATCACGTTAACAAATAGATATACAACAGAAATTTTAAAAGGTGAGAATTTTTTTAAAAAATAAAGATGTTCTAGTATTTTTTTCCTGCACTCACTAGGTCATCTGACTCACCCCTGTCAAGTACTCACTTTCCAGCGTAGGTGTGAGTACTCTGTGAATTCAATAACTGTTTTTGTATGTCTTCATCCAACATTGATGAAAATTTGGACCAGAACAGGCCAGGCACAAAACCTCTGCAGCCCCTGGACATTTTTCTCTGGTTTGACATTAAACCGTTAATCAGTATGTTTGAAATCTGTGCTCAACAAGCTGTAAATCCACCTACCTGTAGAGCCAACATTTCACCTTCTTATCCCTGGTGTCCAAAGTTCTGCCAACCCAGAAACCTTACTGAAAGGAACACGAGGTTGGTTTGACTTGACTTATCATTAGTGATTTGGAGGCTTCAGGAACATAGTTTTTTAAATTAACATTGGCAACGTCTCCTTGGCATTTTTCAAAAATGTCACTTATGGCAAGCCCAGAATTCATTTAGTTCCCCCTTTCACCATACTGACATCCTGAAAACCACACTGGGAAGATGAATCATTGTTGAAGATCATTTTGCCCACGTGTAAATTTAGAAATGCTGCAGTTGCCTCTTTGCTACTTGACAACATTCTTGCATTATTGCAGAGCTGGAATGTTAACTGAGTTGCATTCCAGGGTTTTTAGAGTCAAAGGTTGACTAATGAGCAGCTTCTCTCAGGGAAAAGAGAAAAACAAACTTGTCTCTTACAAAGTAGCATTGTATGAGCTTATAAAAATGGGAAAGGGGTAGGAAAGGGCTATGTATTAAAAGAAAGGATCCCAAAGTAACTAAATAAAAGTAATCTTGCTATTCTTCCAGACAAATAAGAAAGACTGTAGTTTTCAATTTTGTCTCTTTTTATTTAGTTATAACAGTGGCTGACATTTATATAGTGTTTTCTACGCTCTGCCAGTGCTGTGGTTAAAGCATTAGTCTGCTAACAGAAAGATTGGCAGGTCAAACCCACCAGCCACTCCATGGTGGAAGGATGAGGCAGTCTGCTTCCATAAAGATTCCAGCCTTAGATACCCAGTGTGGGTCGCTATGAGTTGGAATGGAGTCAGTGGCAGTGGATTTGGTTTGATTTAGGTACCAGGCAATGTTCTAAGTTGTTCTAATTGCATTTGTCCATTTATTTACCTCTTCTAACAACTCTATGAAGTAGGTACTAATGTTAGCCCCATTTTACTAATGGGAAAACCAAGGCACAGGAAGTTAAGTAACTTGCCTAACATCACATAGGTAATAAATGGAGGGACAGGATTCAAACCTAAGCTGTCTAGTTCCGGAGTCGATCCCTTCAACCACTTAGTTACCCTGCCAACAGCAGCATGAATACAAGGGAGTCACATTTTCAGTCCTTTGTGCTTGCAACACAAGTGTGATGCACAGCACATCACCTTCTTAATGTCAAAGAATTTTGGAGGGGATTTAAAAAAACACGTACGGACGATGGCTTCACTGAAAATCACTACAGGCAGTCCCAGAGTATGAACATGATCTGTTCCTAACTGTCTTTAAGAATCAGAACAAGTGTGTATGTGGTTATTCAGCCTTACTTTAGTGCAAGAAAACGCTTAAAGCCTTTTCAGTGGTTTAAAAGCTGCTGCATGCTCTGGTAGCATAGTGCCTAAGGCACTTGACTGCTAACCAGAAGGCTGGTGGTTCAAACCCACAAGCCACTCCTCGGAATGAACATTGGGCAATCTACTTCCGTAGTGGTACCACTTCAGAAACCCAATGAGGGGTCGCTGAGTCAGGTCCGACTTGATGGCACTTAACAGCAACAGCAACAGCATGTGCAGCAAGTGAAGGTGATTGTGATGAAGAATTTGTTTCCAGTGGAATTTGGTTAAGTCATTTCAAAGTGAGGACAAATTTATGTAACATTAAAGAGCAAGTAGGAGCTGTCTGTAAGTCAGACAGTCTTAACCCTGGGCTGCTTGTAATACCTATATGGTAAGTCATATTTTCTTTTCATTTCTCTCTTCTTTCCTAATTATACAAACTTTTATTATTTACATAGCATAAGAACATACCATTGCTACATTGCATTTGTTTATTTAGCAAATAAAGTTTGTAAGAGCTTTCACATATATTATTCCTTCTGCAAACATTTCTTAAAGGCCTATCTGGGTGCAGAGCTGGATCTTTGGGTAGAAAGCATTAAAGAGAAACCAAGCTCTTCCTCTTGTACCAGGATTCCTAGGCAGGTGCCTAACTCCTGGGTAAAAAACAGTTGCCATGGAGTAGACTGATTCATGACAATCCCATAATGTCAGAGTAGAACTGTGCTCCATAGGTTTTTCAATGGCTAATTTTTCAAAAGTGGACCGACAGACCTTTCTTTTATGGCACCTCTGGATGTCCTCAACCCTCCAACCTTTTGGCTAGCAGCTGAGTTCATTAAGCATTTGCAACATCAGGACTTCTAACCATGTAATTTCCTTCCTGATTCTTGCTTCTAGACCCAGCTACTTATTCAATCAGATTTTCCACTAGTGTTCACTTGTACCTCAGTAGTCCAGCCAGATCCTGCTAAGGAGCTTTCCAGCTCTGTGCTTTCATTGTTTTGCTGTTCTGAATGCCTTTCCCTCTCTGTCCCTTGTCTTCTACCTCTGCTGAATTTATCTATATCTAAAGCTCAACTTCCAAGTTACTTTCTCCATGAAACTTGAGTAACTGGGGCAAGTTACTTCACCTCTCTGAGCCTGTTTCCTCATTTGTAAAATTGAGATCATGTATTATTTATCCCACAGGAACTTATGGGAAGTAAATGTATGGAAAGTATGTAACACAGCCTGGGACACATGGTGTATGCTCAAAAAATGTTATCTACTTTTATTGTTTTTATTCCCTATGTTAGGGCAATCTAGTTCCATAAAGATTGTTGTCGTTGTTGTTGTTGTTGTTATGTGCCATCAAGTCAGACCTGACTCATAGCGACCCCTCCTTGGGTTTCTGAGGCAGTATCACTACGGAAGTAGATTGCCCCATCTCAAAAACCCAATGGGGATCACTATGAGTCAGAATCAACTGCATTGCAGTGAGTTTTGTTTTGTTTTTTGGTCATGGTCCCTCGATATCAAATTATTTATTCTCTAGTCAGAAACAGGGAGCTCTGGTAGCATAGTGGCTAAGACACTTGCCTGCTAACCAGACGGCTGGCGGTTCAAACCCACCAGCCACTCCTCGGAAGGAAGGTTGGGCAATCCTACTTCCATAGTGATACTGCCTCAGAAACCCAAGGAGGGGTCGCTATGAGTCGGGGCCGACTCGACGGCACATAACAACAACAACAACAAGTCAGAAACAATCTGCCCCTCCTTTTTAATCCCCTGTGTATCTTTTTGGCATTCTGTGCCTCTCTGTATTGTTTCATGTTATTTATAGGAATCTTGCAACAACCATATTTGACCATAAATAAGCTCTCTGAAGTCAGGGACCACCATATATTAAATATTTTGGACCCTTGCCCCCCAGTCATGCTTCACACAATATACAGGGTATTCTGTAAATATATATTCAATGAAAAAGCAAACATCTATTGCGATACATATACAATAGTGATTTATTATTCTTTGGGATCTGTTTGGGTTCCAGGTGCCAGAGGTGACCCAGGATTCCCAGGAGATCTTGGGGAGCCAGGACTGCGGGGTGAGACAGGAGACCCCGGCCTACCAGGTCTCCCTGGCATATCCATTGGAGATGACGGTAATGTAGTTTTATGGTGTTAAATCTCAGTCCAGAGGTACATGCACTCAGAGCTAAACATGAACAATTGAAGCATTACTGGCTACATAAATTTTGTTTGGTTTTTGTTGTTTATACTTTTTCTCATAGTCTAGGCTTACCAAGCTCTAATCCCACTTAAATACATTTTTGAGATGTCTTCACAGGACCACGTACATATGGCAGTAGCTCGCTGCCTAGATGATGCCGCTGGTGCATAACTAGCATGATCCCATCAGTTGTTTAGGATGATCATAGAGAAGCATTAAATGTTGTTTCCAAGTGTTGGCAACAACTATCAGGCCATTATTTGAGAGCAAGGAGAGGTGCTTTTTTTTTTAAAAAAAAAAAAAAAAAAGGAAGGTGAAAGTATACTAATGATATTTATCCTTTTAGTTATTGATTGGATTGTAAAAGTCACTGGTCCTGTTGGAGCTTTCTTACTGACATGAATGCATATGTAACTGGTAAAGATCAGAAGCTGCTCACAGGGACTTATGCTGCTGGTGAATGCTGTTGGATTTGCAGATGAGAAGAGAGGTTTACCAGGGGAAATGGGACCCAAAGGCTTCATAGGAGACCCAGGCATCCCTGCTCTGTACCCTGGACCACCAGGAGCTGATGGAAAACCAGGGCTTCAAGGACGCCCAGGACCTCCTGGGCTACCCGGACCAGATGGTAAGTGAATGGAAAACTGACAGGAGGGTGCATTTTAGTGTTCAGATAAAGCTTAATACCAGCTGAATTTTCATTTGGGTTTTTCTGCTAAATAATTCCTTGAACTAATCCAAAAGGCCAATGGATTATGCTGTAGTCACATCCTCTGGGGTGAAAATAGAAGAAGCTGGTCACAGAAGAAAGACAGATCTTTTAAACCTATTGAATCAACATGAATCAACAAACTCATGTATATGACATAGTAAATGAGGTTTGACTTCAGTAAAAGCAGTCTGTCAGCAAAACATGTAAGAGGTACTGTCTAAAAATAGAAGTAAACTGAGGTAGTTGTCCCAGTGTCTGTGTGATGAATTCTGTACACCTTCTTCCATGGTGGGGGCTGTAAGCCTTGATTCTGCCTCTCACCTCTGTATTATGAAATATTCTGAACAGACTTAATCATCTTTCTTCTCAGCCTTCTGTGGAGCCAAAGCTCCAACTTAACGTGTGGTAACTGTTGATGACAAGAAGGGATGGCTGCATTCTTTAAAAAGAAGTGGTAGCCATTGGCCAGGCAGGGATAAAAGACTATGAAAGTCTAAGAAACTAGACAAGTATAATAGTGTAGACTCATTTGATCCTCCTGAGGGCTATCCCTGAATCATAGCACAAAATGAAATTTCCAGGTTATAATGTTAACCATGACTCATCTTTTAGTTGAGAATGCTATTTAAGGAGACAAGGAGAAGTGTGATACATCTTTGAGGATGCCCTCAAAAAGGTTATTCTTTTAAATATCAGAATCAAAAGAGTTATGTTTTAGACACTATAAGATCTCCTAATGGAAACATTGCAGCCCCTCAAGAGAGTGGATAAATGAGGCATTGGAAGAAAGTATGAGATCACGTTATCTCTTTTTATTTGATATTGACCAAAATTTAGCAGCCTCTTCTTTTTCAAAATATTTTACTTTAAATTCTCTATATCACTCACAATAAGCTCTTCTATCTTAAGGAAAAATGGATAGTGTTTGATTCAGTTAAAGATCAAATTCAAGTATGTATTCACACTTTAACTGCTTTTAGAAGACGACACCTCTCTGGTGGCATAGTGCCTAAGGCATTTGACTGCTAACTAGAACGCTAGTGGTTCAAACTCACCAGCCACTCCTCGGTAGGAAGGTTGAGCAATCTACTTCCATAGTGATACCGCGTTGGAAATCCAAGGAGAGGTCACAATGAGTGGGATCCAACTCAACGGCAGTGGGTTTGGTTTTGTTAAAATTGTTAGCAGTATTAGAAGTATATCTCCAAATACTTCTTCCATTAGAAGGATTGGCAGTTACTTCTCTCATTCTATTTTGTACTTTACAGTACCTGTGTAAGTTAAAATAGTTCCACTTACCCCTTGTTCTTTCAAGTAGAAAAACTACAAAGTCCCACCTGCTAATGAAAAAATATTAAGGTACAGATATTTCCCTGGATCATGAACTTCACAAATAGTTTGAGCAACATTATCTTTCATATTTTTTATGATCTTTGAGGTAATATTTATTACTGTAACATCTATGATAAAAGCTAAGTTTTGATGAGCATGTATTTCCTAAAAAAAAAAAAAAAAAAAAATTAAATCTATTGAGTTTTCCTTTTTCTGGCAATAGAACATCTTACATTAAAAATAAAAAGCATAAAAATATGCCTCTCCAGACAATAGTCCTATAAGTTTATGTGAATGATCAGAATTCCCAGGTGTATAGTAGAGCTGACAAGGGGCAAGGTTGTGGTCACTGCTTGGTCACAACCACCTACCCAGAGGGACTGAGTTGTTGAACCTGCGGACTTGGGACCATAGTCGCAGGGGACATCAAGCTCAATTGGCATAACATACTATACAAAACATTGTTCCACCTCCTACTTTGTCGAGTAGCAACTGGGATCTTAAAAGCTAGCAAGCTGCCATCTAGATGCAACGATGGGTCTCTCCTTGTCCAGAGCAAAGAAGAATGAATAAAACCAAAATTCATGGAAACAATTAGCCCTAGAGACTGGTACACCAACCGATCTGCAGCCTATATGACTATGAGACCAGAAGAACTAGATGGTGCCTGGCTACCACTGTCATCCACTTGGAAGAGGATCTATGTAGGAGATCCTTGAGAGAGAGGGAGAACAATGTAGAACAAAACTCAAAATCATTTGGAGGAAAAAGAAAGGGGGGGACCAGGTTTGCTGGTCCGATAGAGCCTGGTAGAACCACTGAGACTATGGCCCCTAGCTGCCCTTCAGGTCTGGAATTGAAACCTGTGGTTTCCAGCCAAACAAAAGACAGGCATATGAGTTGAACATTTACCTCAAGTAGATACACTCTTTGGAGAGAACAATCATGAGAGAAAGAAGGGCTGCTTATGCACAGGGAGATAGCTCAGGGGGCAGGAGTGTATGGAGGGATGGACACTGGGAAGAGGTAACTATGGGGAGGAAGTGGGAGGGGAGCTGTTGCATTGTGGTAAACTGTGGTCAATGTCATGAGACAAAGTGTATGTGAACTGCTGTATGGAAAGTGAATTTGCTCTGTAAATCTTCACCCAAATCACAATTAATATATATATATATATATATGCCTCTCAAAGGCCTAATTTTGAAGACTGACTTTCCCATTACTCCTATACTTAAATTCTGTTTTGATAAAGACAAATCCCATCTTGTTTTATCTATGATTTACTAAAATAAGTCAACTGCAAACAAATTAACTTAATTCTGATCCATGTTGCAGATTGATGAGGAAATGTATAAAACAGATGGAAATTTTTGTCAACTAAAAATTTTTAAAGCCTATAACTTAAGTTCTCATTTAAATACATGTCTTAATCCTGTGAGACACATTGTTTCCAAATCACCTTTATTTGTAAAGCAATCTCTTATATACAAAAAGCAGCCAACCATCATGGCCTTTTAGACACTTTTGTGTGTGACCATAATTTAATGTTAATGACCTTGATTGATTCTCACAGAGTTCTTCAACTTTCCCCCTGGAATAATATTATTGGATTCTTTTCTTGGTAACTGCAATTTATCCTGTTTTATGTTTTGCTACTGATGAAAACCAGAATATTTACTCCCTGCAATTCCAGCAGAATCAAACCATGAAGTCAGTTTTCTTTCAGGGTGAAATATTTTGCTTACTCCTAGTTTCCAACTCAGTTAACTGAATCGAGTATTGGAGCTGCTCCATTCTGTCTAGAATCAGTGAAAATAGAAATAAGATAAAATAAAAATCCTACTAGATTTTTTTGTGGCTACTCTCCTCTTTGTGAAAATCATGTTAAAAAAAATTACAGAGACACATCACTATCATATAGGTCTTATTTGAAATTAGGATTTTAAACAAAAGGAAAACAGCATAGGAAAGAGGAAGGGTGACATCTTAAGATGGCCAGTCTGTGCCTTTAAAAAAGATTTGCTGTATAAAGAACATCCACAGTATCTTTGTCTTTATTGTCGTGTCTCAAGTTTAAAATGCTGACATCACAGAAGTAACGAACCAGCCAGTTGCCACCAAGTCAACTTCAACTCATGGCAGCCCCATGTGTGGGATTTTTAATGGCTGACTTTTCACAAGTAGAACACCAGACTTTTCTTCCAAGGTCCTTCTACGTAGACTTGAACCTCCAACCTTCCAATTTGCATCCAAGTGCTATATCCCTTTTAAATGTAAGTTAGATCACTTAGATCTCATGAGAACTTTCCTCCTTAAAACTCTTTAATGGCTTCCTGCTGCTCTAGGCATAAAAGACCCTGCATGATCTGCTGACCTCCTTCACCTCCTCTAATGCGACTCTGTTTGCCTCACCCAGGGACTTCCTGCATGGTTAAATAATTCTGTGATAATACACTTCTCACTAAACATTGGGAGAACTTGGAGACATAAAATTAAAATCCACCAACTTCATCAATTGACTGAAATTGCATTTGACCTGGTCAACAATGGTCTTTATGTTTCTAAATACTGGAGATGTCATTTTGTATGCATCAGCAACCTCTCTTTAGGCCAGGGTACAGCTGGTCATCCCTCTTCTAGAAAGACTGTCTTCTCTGGGCTTATGTTTTCCTTCTCCCTGTCTCTCTGGGCACTCCTTTATGGCTTCTTTGTTGGTACTTCTGTTTCCTCCTCTACCTATTCAATAAATGTTGGCCCTCCTGGGAGTTCAATCTTAGACTGTCTTCCCTCTGTACTCTTTACCTAAGTGAACTCATCCATTCACATGAATTTAAATACAGTTTATATGCCAGTCACTCCTTAATTTTGTCTCTAGTCCCCTAATCAATAAGATTTGAAAATCATGCTAAAAATATTTAAGAGATACATCACTATTTTTTGTATTATTGTGATTTGGGTGAAAGTTTACAGAGCAAATTGATCTTCTATTCCACAATCTGTATACAATCTTGTAACATTTGCTGCAATCCCCACATGGTAACAACATTCTTCCCACTTTCTCCCTGCACCCATGCCTTCCCTTCATCCCTCTTTTTCACCCCCTCCCACCTTCCTACCTCTGTCTGTGAGCAAATGCAGTCCCCTTGATCCCATATGTTTCTTCTAATGAACGAATATCCTCCTGCTATTGACTGCTAACCAGAAGGCTGACGGTTAAAACCCACCAGCCACTTCTCGGAAGGAAGGTTGGACAATCTACTTCCATAGTGATAACTGCCTCGGCAACCCAAGGAGGGGTCGCTATGAGTCGGGTCCGACTCGACGGCACGTAACAACAACATTACTGTTCTCTAGGAGCTCTGGTAGCATAGTGCCTAAGGCACTTGACTGCTAACCAGAAGGCAGGCGGTTCAAACCCACCAGCCACTCAGAAGATGGTACAATTACTTCCATACTGATGCTGCCTCGGAAATGCAGGAGGGGTCTCTATGAGTCAGGTCTGACTCAACGGTGCATAACAACAATTACTGTTCACTAGAGAGAGAGAGAGAGAGAGAGAGATGCTCCTGTCTTTTGTTTGGCTGCCAGTTGAGTCACGAGGGTTAAATTCAGTTCCTAGTTTAAAGGGTGGCTCGGGGCCATAGTCTCAGGGGTTCCACCAGTCTTCATCAGACCAGTAAGCCTGGTCTTTTTTATGATTTTCAGTTTTGTTCTACATTTTTCCTCATTGTATCTGGGGCCTCTTATTATGATTCCTTTCAGAGCAGTCAGCAGTGGTACCCAGGTGTCATCTAGTTCTTCTGGTCTCAGGGTTGTGGAAGCTAGGGTTCACATGCTAAGTTAGTCCTTTGGACTAATTATTTCCTGTGTCTTTGATTCCCTTCACTCTTCTTTGCTCCAGACAGGGGGAGACCAATAGTTCTCTTTAGATGGCCACTCACATAAGCTTTTAAGACCCCAGTCGCTACTTAGCATAGTAGGATGTAGAACATTATCTTTGTGGTCTATGTTACGCCAATTGACCTTAGTGTCCCCCAAGACTATTGTCCTGAGCCTCCATACCCAGCGACTCATTCCCTCAAAGTATTTGGTTGTGACTTAGATGTTTTCATGACTCTTTCCCCTGTATGATCTACTACATGCATAGACATATTTTTAGCATATACAAATGCATAGAGATAGCCTCTGTCAAACCTATATATATATATGTTCATGGGTACTTCAAATTATTAATATATTAAATAGAGGGAAAACAACATAGGAAAGAAGCGGTGTGCCATCATAAGATAGTCATTCTGCATTTTTTTGTTAGATTTTACTAGCTCACATAGATCACATTAAAACTACTCTCTGATAATGTGTTGGAAGAAACACCCACAGTCTCCTTGTCCTTCATGTCACGTGTCTGGCTTCTGAGCTACAAAACTCATATAGACTGTTAACTCAACACATAGTCTCACAAACATATCAAATATTGTATCTTAAAATTTAACTTTGCTCATCTCTTCCCCCAGGCCCTCCGTGCAACATGCCTTTCTTTTGGTTCTTACTCATCTCAATAAAACCAGTAACTCAAGCCAGAACCCTGGGAGTTACTCTGGGCACTTCCCTTATCTCCCACACTGTATCCATCACCAAGTCCTATTGATTCTACCTGTTGGATGTTGAATCTTAAACAGGTCCATATATCTTCATTTCACTGCCTTTGTCCTAATCCAAGCCAGTGTCGTCTCATGTCTAGTCTACTAGAATAGCCAACCCCTAGTAGTCCAGCTTCCATTCTTTCTCTCTCCAGTCATTTCTCCTTACAGCCAATATATGTCTTTCAGTGTAAATTAGATCACATTAGAACTTCTCTCCTTACAACTCTGGTTAAGGCATTTGGCTGCTAATCAAAAGGTCAGTGGTTTGAACCCACCAGCCACCCTGTGCCCCATGGAAGAAAGATGGGGCAGTCTGCTTCCGTAAAGATTTACAGTCTTAGAAACCCAATGAGGGTCACTATGAGTCAGAATTGACTTGATAGCAATGAGTTTGGGAGTTTGTATTGTATTGATCCTTGGGATCAAATCCAAGCCCTGTTCCTTAGATGGATGACCCTGCATGATCTGCTGACCTCTTTCACTTCCTTTCATGCAGCTCCACTTCACCTGCCACCCTTCAACCACTGGCTTTCTTCCTACTTCAGGGCCTTTTAGATACTCAAACCTCTGTCTGGGGCAGTCATGGAGTAGCATAGAAGGTTAAGTACCTGCCTACTAGCTGAAAGGTTGGTGATTCAGATCCAACCAGAGGTGCCTCAGAAGACAGGTCTAGCAACTAGTTCTGATGGCAGCTAACAAGAGCCCTCTGTTTTTCTGGCTCTTTTTTCTTCTTTGGGTCTTAATTTAATTTTCACCTCTTCAGAAAGGACTTTCCTGACACTCCCTCAATAAAGTGGGCTCTCCCCACCCGCATTACTTTCTCTGATAGCTCCCTGTTCTCTTTCTTCATAGCAGTGGCCATAACTCAAAATTCTACATTGGTTGTTTACTACTGTGTGTTCAATGTGTGTCTTTACATTTGGGCTATAAGCTACGTAAGAATCTGTCGGTCTTGTTTCCTGTTGTATACCACACTGCCTGGCATAGAATAAGTGCTGGATCAAGTTCTGATGAATGAATGAGATTATATTAAATGTGTAATGAGATCAGATTATATGGCACATTATTCATTGCTACCTTTGCATAAATATTTATAGCTACCTAGGAGCACGCTGACATTCAAATTCTGGTGGTTTTTTTTTTTTTCAAGCAGGTAGCAAAAAGTTTTAACACTTAGTATTTTCCTTTCTCCCTTAATTCCTTAATAACTGTGTTCTTTCCTCCTCTCAGGCACCACGTGGTGGATATGGAAATACAGTGTTTTAATTTTTTGGAGGGTTGTTATTTGATTTTTTGAGCTTATAATCACTAAACCAAAAACTAAACTCACTGCCTTCAAGTGGAATCCAACTCATAGTGACCCCTCCGTAGGTTTCTGAGGCAGTATCACTATGGAAGTGATTGCCCAACCTTCCTTCCAAGGAGTGGCTGGTGGGTTTGAACCGTCAACCTTCTAGTTAGCAGTCAAATGCCTTAGGCACTATGCCACCAGAGCTCCCTTATAATCACTACTAGATTTGAAAGTAAGGAAAAGAAAAGAATGGGTTATGGAGACATTTGGATTCCATAATCCAGCAGTGTTTTTTTTCCCTCCCTGGACATATGCAACCTTATTGTCTATCACAAGATGTCATTCCTCTTGCATATGACATCAAGAATTTTGTTGGCCTTTAAAATATATTTCTTAAACCTTCACCTCAATATACTTGCTTGAAATTACTAAAACCTTGGAGATGGGGCAGGACTTTTAAAATACCGTGAACCTTGTTAGCAGAGATTGTGGATTAGGAGTTGGGGGAAAATGTTCCCTGAGTTAAACCTGCTGAATCCAGATCATTTACATGTTATCTGCATTAATTACATTAACTCCATGTGTGTATATTGTGCATATGTGTGCACACAAAGAAATGAGAGTGTATGTGTGTGTGGGGGGGGTATGTGTACATGTGCTCCAATTCCAGAGTAAAGGGTAAAGGACAGAGAGAGTGCATTGTTTTAATCTCTCCGTGTATATTTTTTGGGGGAGGGGTATCAAAAATGTGTAGTAGTCTTGGAATCCAAGTCCTTAGCACACAAACAAAATACATGATCAAAGATTCAAACCTTTCTTTGGACTCAGGTTTTCTCAAAAGTAAAGATTTCTATTTCTAGATTTTAATTGAAAAAATAAATTCATTGACTCTTAAGTTTCTTTATAGCTCCGTAATCTGTGACCACAGAACAATCTGTTTCTTTCTTAATAGGTGTTTGGGCATGGAATTGAAGGTGATGGGTCATTTTTATTCTATCTTGGGAGATTTAGCTGAAAACCTTCAAAACATTGGGTTCAGTGAGATGTCTCTCTACGGTCTGCTAATTTTCATTTCCTTGTGGGTTTTTTCTTTAGGTTTTCTTTTTGGACTTAAAGGAGTAACAGGACAGGTGGGCTATCCAGGGCCTTCTGGTTTCCCTGGGGCTCGTGGCCCAAAAGGATGGAAAGGTAAGGAAAGTCTGGGAAAACTGGAGAATGGAGGTGGAAGTTATCTTGGCCTTTCTAAATCTACCTCAACTTCTAGAAAGTTAAATCTCTTTCTCTTTCCAACTTATTCTGAAATAAAATTGACCCTACACTTCTGTAATACCCTCCTTTCTCCCATCAATATTACACTAAAAGGAACATATGTGAAATCAACTCTGCGTGCCCGGTGCCCCATTGGTCACCCTTTTCTATTAAGCCATGTTTATGACTGAATTTCCAAAAAGTGCAGAGCCCACTACTACCCAAAAAAGATGAACCGTTATTTCTCAAGCTGAATTCAAATGATTCATCTGAAGTAATCAGTTTTAAGACAACGTAACAAGTTTTTGTAAAGGGCCCTATTCATTGCAGAGTGCTTGTATATTGAACATCTCATTTGAGCCTAACGATGACTCCCTAAGTTAGGTATTGTATCTGGCAAGAAGACTGAGCCTCACAGAAGCAAAGTGACTTGCCCAGGGTCTCACTTCCAGTCAGTGGTAGAGTCTAAAATAGAGCCGAGCCAGTCTAGCACTTTACTCTTCTTGCTATACCCCTCGGAACTAAGATCGGGCAATCCACTTCCCTAGAGATACTGCCTCGGAAACTCAAGGAGGGGTAGCTATGAGTCAGGACGACTCAACGGCAGTGAGTTTAGTTTGAGTTTTGGATACCTCTCAGACTCCACACTGACTTCAAGGACGCCCCCGTGAGGCCATTTTTCCAGAGAAGGTCTGGCTTAATGGTGCCTACTCTATGTGGTAAGCTGTCTGCTACCACTGTGGTCCTTGCCAAGCTCTCCTGCCCCACAACGGATAACACACTATGGGATGGAATGACACCCTGATCTTTCTGATAATGTGTGGGAATGTGTGCATGCATTCAATACCTCACTGGGAATACAATCAGTTAGGCTCAGGCATTCCCACTTATGAGCTATATAACATGCTCCTACTCTACCATAATCTATGCCCTGGGGGAGCTGACCCCTACCAACAGCATGGTTTTCCCTTGGCTTCCTGAGTTCAGCCAATGACAGGACAGAAGAGAGATGTGAGTATTTTTTCCTTATTCACTCACAACCTTGGTGCCACAGTTCTGGCAATGGCTGCATGCCTCTAAGACTATAGCTTCTACCAGGCAGCCCCCTCCCCTTCATGGTTTCAGTTTGTACTAGACTCCTGTAATGCTATTTCCTCCTTTAGACTCAGTGGTGTTAATGATTTCCTGCTGCTCATAGTGACTGAATTCCTCAATATTCATTGTTTGTCCCCTACATTCTGCCCACACCTCTGTAGAGAGTCCCATTTTTAAGTATCATCTTAGTTCTGTTTTCTGAAGTAATCATGACTGATAACTTGGATAACTTACTATTAGCCTCACTTTCCTTATCTAAGAAATGAGCATCATAATCCCTGCCACAGGATTTTGTGACGACTTGAGCAGATAATGTATATAAAGTACCTGTCACGGCATAGATGTTTAATCAGTGTTGCCTCTGCCTTAACCCAGCTCTGCTGACCCTGTTTTATATTTCTGTTCACTGTAGTGCTAAGAGGGATTGATAAATGCTTCGTGAATAACAAGTTTCCTCTCTCTCCCTCACATTGTAGGTGATGCTGGAGACTGTAGATGTGAAGATCAGTTCATCAGGGGTCTTCCAGGGCTTCCAGGACCCAAGGGCTTTCCAGGTGTCAATGGAGAACCAGGGAAGAAAGGGGATCAAGGTGACCAGGGCCAGCATGGCCTTCCTGGTTTCCCAGGATTCAAGGTGAGGGAACAGCGGTCCTCTTGTTGACCAATTTTGTCACAAAGCTGATAAGATTTCCTTGATGCTTATCCCTGTTCTTCTATCCTTGGCTTTGATTTGTTAAATTAACACAGATTTGGACCAACAACACTCTTTTACCACATATCCATTCAAAGATACTCACAAAGTCCAAGTCAAACTTAAAAATGTTTACAAGTAGAAATGTATAATGGTGCAGCCACTTTGAAAAACAGTTGGGCACCTTCATAAAATATTAAACACAGAGTGATTCAGCAAATCCACGCCTAGGTATATACTGAAGAATTGAAAGCACATCTTCACACAAAAATTTACATACAGAAGTTCAAAAGTGCAAACAATCCAAATGTCCATCACCTAATGAATGGATACACAAAATGTAGTATATCTATAAGATGAAATATTATCCAGCCATAAAAAGGAAATGAAGTACTGGTATATGCTACAACATGGATGAAACTTAAAACTATTAATACTAAGTGAAAGAAGACAAATACAAAAGGCCACATATTATATGATGCTGTTTATATGAAATATTCATAACAGGTAAATCCATAAAGACGCCAAATAGATTAGTGACTGTGAGGGACTGGAAGTGGAATGAGGAGTGACTTGACTCCTTAATGGGTACAGAATTTGTTACGAGGTGATGAAAATGTTCTGGAATTTAGATAGTGGTGATAGATGCACAAACTTGTGAATATACTAAAAACCAATGAATTGTATACTTTAAATTGTACACTGAAGTGATAAATTTCATAGTATATGAATTATACCTCAATTTATATAAAAACTCTTAGCATTATATATACAAAGCATATTACTTATTGACCACTCACTTCTTCATATTTGGTTTAGAACTGATTTAGTAATTTAGGAAGGCTTCCTTAACTCCACAAGAAGCAAGACCAAAGAGTAAATCATAAATTTACTTTGTATGAAATTTCACCTGTCCATGAATTCCCTGCATATATGTCAGCTCAATGACTTTTATTTCATGTGTTATGAAAAGGTCATCTGGAGTAGATCTTTCTTGCCTGGCAGATTTTAACTGACCAATGATTTCAGAGCAAATTTCAAATGTAGGCATAGAAATTATACTTTTGCTTTTTAAAATTAAAAAAAGTCCTCAAGAATATAATAAAGTGAAAAGTCTATCATTTTATACATTTAGAAAATATCCGTATGTTATGTGCATATATATTATAAAAAAAAAATCGCTAAGGACAGTGAGAAAAACCTGGCTGGACTTTATGATGCGGAATTGCAGCTGCAGACAGAGCTACTGGTGCAGAAAGTATTGCACTCATAAATGCTTTATGGCCCAAGAGCTTTGCAGGTGAAATGAGGTCCAAAGCTCCATGCCCTCAGATTTCTCGGTAAACAACTAGGAAAATCAAACAAAAAAATAGTGGGTACTATATTTTATCTAGTTTTTAAAAAATCCCATGTCAAGTCAAAGCTGTCTAAGCATATAAAAGTTGCTGAAGAATTCAGAAAAAGTGTATGTGGTGAGAATCACAAACTTATTAATGGCAAAATTACTGGGATCTTTGGTTATTTATAAAATGACTGAATATTTCCTAGAAGCCAAATAGATTCCATTTGTGCACCTGGAATGTCCAAAATCTTCCCGGTACACATGCTTTCCCCAAATGCATTACATACACTCCGATGACATTTTTGTTCACAAACCTTGGCATCATGTTTCTAAATTTGCATTTTATATATCTGACAGTCCCACTGCAGTTGGAACTCCCAAGACTACTTTTTTAATATTTGCACTGATAGAGTGGGCCATGGTGCATAAAGTATAGGAGTCAGTCAATAGCTGTATGCATTCATTCATCTATCCATCCATCCATTTACCCAACACATATTTACTGAGCGCTGTGTGTGAGACTCTGTCCTAATTACTGAAAGAATGTGTCACCCTTTTCAGCCAAGAGCTAAATCAATAAATCAAGTATCTATGGAATGTCTTAGGAGAAAGGAGCTCATAATCAATTGTAACATTGTATTTTGTTAAACCAACACTCAAAATCCCTGTGTTCTTGAAAATAACATCTACCAATATATATAAAAAACTAGTGTATCAAACATATTAAAATACAATCCTGAACCATTAACGTGTTCGTTTCTGCTCATCGAAAGAGCTAAACTAAGTTTCAGAGCCTAAATTTTTTTCTTTTTTTAATTGTGATTTGGATGAAAGTTTACAGAGCAAATTCATTTTCCATACAGCACGTCATATACATTTTGTTTCATGACATTGATCACCATCCCCATTGTGTAACAGCTCTCTTTCCACTTTACAGCCTAAAATGTAAGTGACCATATAGCAAACATGTCTCTGAAGTATTTTTTTTTCCCCAACCTTAATCTATGTGAGGACAGGCTGTCAATTATATTTATTATTCTCAATACTAAATGATCACAAATATTTATCCTTTATACTTGTTGTGGGAGCTCTGGTAGCTTAGTGGCTAAGACACTTGCCTGCTAACCAGACGGCTGGCGGTTCAAACCCACCAGCCACTCCTCGGAAGGAAGGTTGGGCAATCCTACTTCCGTAGTGATACTGCCTCGGAAACCCAAGGAGGGGTCACTATGAGTGGGGTTTGACTCGACGACACATAACAACAACCACAACAACAACAACAACAACATACTTTTTATATTTCGTTTTTAACTGCTTCAATTCTAAATGTGAGAACCTTGTGTTTAGATGAATTGCTTCTCAAACTGTAATGAATATGTGACTCCCTAGAGACTTTGTTAAAATGCAGATTCTAATTCAGTTGCTATGGGGTGGGGCCTAAGATTCTGTCTATTTTACCAGCTCCCAGGTGATGCTGATGATGTTAGTTTCATGGAATATCACTGAGTAATTTCTAGGTTTGTACTGTCCTATATAGTAGCCACTAACCACATGACTATTTAAATTTAAATTTTAATTAGTTAAAATTAAATAAAATTTAAAATGTCATTCCTCAGTCCTACTTGCCACATATCAAGTGCTCAGTAGCCACATATGACTATTAGTTAGTGTTTTGGGTAGCTCATCACAGATATAGTATATTTCCAGCATAGCAGAAAGTTATTTGAATAGCACTGTGCTGGCTAATAGGTAATTGAACCCAAGTTGTGTTAGTGGAAAATCATTATCTCCTTCCCTATACTCAGATGTCTTTAGCTTTGTGAAAGAGGAAGGAAAAAAGTATGTTTTTGTTTCCACAGGGAGCCACTGGTGACATTGGACCTCCTGGGCCTAAAGGAGTAAAGGGAGATTCTAGAACAGTTACAACCAAAGGTTAGTTCTTTTATGGCCAAGCAATCCGTGAACCATTTAACCTGTTTGTAGTTAATAGTAAGCACCCTGTGTTTTAAATCAGTGCTTCTAGATAAACCATAGCTTGTCTACAACCATGCCAGCAAAATGCTTTCTTATCTCCCCTATGTGAATAGATTTGCACTGCTTATTTCTTTCCAGGTGACAGAGGGCAACCAGGTATCCCAGGTGTGCCTGGGATGAAAGGTGATGATGGTGTCCCAGGGCGTGATGGGCTTGATGGATTCCCAGGCCTTCCAGGACCTCCTGTGAGTAGCCACAAACTCTGGCACCAGCTCAGTGCCCTCATCTTGATTATTCATGTTTGCTAAGCACTTAAAGAGAAATTGTTAAAAAAAAAAAAAAAAGAAAGAAAGAAAATGGTGTAGGCATTGGCATGCAGTTTCATTTTTTTTTTTTTTTTAATAATAAACAAACACCAAAGCTAAAAGTAGGAAAGTCTAATAGTGTGTAAAGACACCCCCCACCCCCCGCATCTCCTTCACAGAATGCTGGAATAAGAGATGTAACTATTAAGGTAGATATACTTCTGCTTATTTTTCGTCACTACCTCCCCGGGTCAGGAGTGGGTAACAATACAGGACTCTTTCAAGGCCCTGTAATTGAAATGAGTCCACTTTAAATCCTTTAATGAGGATCCATTGGAGGGCAAGTCTGGTGCCAGCAGCCACGGTAATTCCAGCTCCAATAGCGTATATTAAAGCAGCTCTGGTAGTGTAGTGCCTAAGGTACTTGACTGCTAACAAGAAGGCTGGCGGTTCAAATCCACCAGCTACTCCTTGGAAGGAAGGTTGGGCAATCTACTTCCATAGTGATACCGCCTCGGAAACCCAAGGAGGGGTCGTTATGAGTCGGGTCCGACTCGATGGCAAATAACAACAACAACTTCTGCTTATCCTTCTCCTTTCCCTCCTTGACGTTAACCCTGCCCACCATGCTTTTCCCATGAACAGTTCTGGAGTTTTATGATTTCCTCTTATAATGATTCTGCAATGTTATTTCTCACCACTTTTTTCTAGATCCCATTTCCTTCCCTATGGTTCTCAAATCGTGCCTCCAGAAGCTCTTCCTCCACTTCAGAGTGTCTCACCTAAATTTTCTTTGCCCACATATGTACCTCATTCCACAGCCTAGATCTGTTTCCTTAATGTTGGTGACATCTATTGTAACACTATTATAATTTAAATCCAGTTTTCTTGGGCTCTTAAAAAAATAATAATTATATTCTATACTTCTAGCAATAATTTGCTAAATATAATTAAAAATAATAATTTAAAAAAATTATAATCATTTTTTAAAAAATAATCACTTTTTGATATAATTGCGTTGCCACATTACTTCCTTAAACTGTGGCTGCTACTTTTCTCCAAACTATGCTTGCTTTTGAATTGGATGAAATTCTGGAGATTATTCACTTGGCAGATAAAGAAATGAGACTTAGTAGTGAGGTGGCTTGTTTATTGTTTTTGGGTTTTTTTATATTTTATTTTTTAATATCAACACTGAACTGAAGGTCCCTTTCCAAGGGATGGAGGACTTCTTCTTAGTGGAGCCTCAACTCTGTCAATCCTTCCAGCCAAAGACCACCAGGAAACACCTATAGTGAATGGAGTTAGGTTTATTGATTCATTGCAATGAGAGATAATGTATGCAATGGAAAACCATGGGGCAACTCAGTAATAAAGTGTTAAAAATGATTTACATTAAAAATGCAATTTAGGTGAGGTCACCTTGAGAAGGGTTCAAAGAGGAGGGTTTTGCTCTGGATTGGATGCTGTCAGAAAGCAAGGGTAATTCTTGATTCATCACAGTTACAGAGTAGCTATGTCTAATGTTATTATGTGAAATTGTTTATATTAAATGGGAGGACTCCATGGCCTTGCTGTGAGTGTCTGGCCGGCTCCTACCAACACCAAGGACTGACTGACAGTCCCAGACCAGCTCCTGACCATCAGAGGCTTCTTTTCTCTTTCTCAGTTCCCAGATCAGGTTATCAGGAGCTGGTACTTAAACCCACACCCTCTCACTGTCAGTTGGGTGTGTTTTCATAACTCTTGTTGCCTTCTTTGCTCACTAGGATCCCTAAGCTACGGGACATAAATATCTACCTTAGAAAAACTCAGTGACCCTGCCCCAGAACACTGTTCTCTCCAACAATCCTGTAAAATGAGAAGTCTTGTCATTATTACCGTTCCTCTCTATTAAAGAAGGTAAAACCTGGGAGGTTACGTGATCTAGGTCATACAAATATAGAGAAAACTTGATTCTGAATTCAGTGACCATCCCACTACACCTTCCCACTGTCTTCTATTATATTGCTCATATCTGGTGCCTTTGATAATGAAAGAAAAGTGATTTCAAATGGAGAATACCATTTAATTTCTTAGAAAGTTTCTGCCTAATTATCTTCAGGCTGCCCAAGTTCCGTGTCAGTGCTTTTGGCAGACGGGCTGGGACTTGTTTCCATGGCCTTTCACTGGTTTATTCTTCCTTTTTCCTTTTCTCTTTGTCCAGATGTGCTCACAGTGACACAGAGGTCTACAGTTTGTCTAGGACCATATCAATATCATTCTTTGTAATATCCCCAGTTCTCACTGCCTCCGTGCATTTTCTATCCCAGTTTTCCTCATTTGATTAGTATATCTTTTAATAGGACTTGTCACTGCTAAATACTTCCAATCTTCTCATATAATCTCTCCTTATTTTTAAAGGGTATACCACTCTTCCTTTCTCTAGTGTCTGAGTTAAAAACTTCCTTTTCTTTAGTAATTATTATCCCTTGTGATTAGTGGCTATGTGTTAATGATAATAAAAATAATATGCTCTGTTCTCAGTTATCTAAATCTGTACCTTACCTGTTCCTATACAGAATTCTTTTTGTGGATGAAGGTCCAAATTGGTACAAGGAAGCTAGTGGCTAGGAAAGACAAAAGTAAACAAATATTTAAATATATATATATATATCTTTATCTTCCATTATTTTGCTCAGAGTCATTATAAAATCAGTCATTGATTTTTGTGACATGGTTAGATGATGACTGTAAAGTCCCATTAATCTCTGCTATCTTTCTAGACTCCTGTTTGTTCCATTATCCAAAGCACAGAATTCATAGAAATGAGGGCAGGAAATTGGGAAATACGGCTATATTTGATGATTGTTTATATTTTAAAATGTAAACCTGATTTTTCCATAGGGTGATGGCATCAAAGGCCCTCCAGGGGAAAGAGGTGATACAGGAGTACCTGGAACAAAGGGAATTCCTGGAGAAATGGGTCCCCCAGGATTAGGCTTACCAGGCCCAAAAGGTGAACATGGTCCTCCAGGAGATATTGGAATACCTGGACCACCCGGCTTTCCTGGTCCTCCTGGCACCCCAGGCACTCCAGGACAAATAGGTATGGAGGAATTGCCACACAAACCCCCCAAAGCCACCAGACACTATTTATTGTTTCAATATTCTCTGTTTTTCTTTGGCAATGTGTAAATTTCCCAGTAGGGTCAGATAAGAATGCATGGTTGCTTCATCAGCTCTTAGCACATACAAATGATTACCTAGCCATGGGATTTCCCGTGCCCATCATCAGCCTCTTGTCACCAATTGAAATACAGAATACCTCTCCGTCCGGTACTCAAGTTACGGAGGTTATGAATCGAAGTTCAGAAATGGGCCTTCCAATTCCCTGCCCATACCCAGCCTTCCCACCACAATCAACACACATATACACTCACACACATACACATCCATAGATAAGTTAGTAACTTTCAGTTGTTCCAAAATTGCTTAACTCTTTGTTGTGTCTTTCTCCTAGATTGTGACACAGGCGTGAAAAGACCCATTGCAGGTGCTGGACAAGACACTATCCAGCCAGGTATTGTAATGAAGATCAAGTGGCTTTAGAACTCTTTAAAAGTTTGGTTTATAAAATATCTGACTCATTAGCAACTGCTTATTCAGCTCCTTTGGTGCACATGGAGCTGAAGTAAGAAATACAAATACATGTGTACAAAACTTGGAGCTAGTACCCTGTTAGTCTCAGTATAGAATCAAAGGCAAGTGTAATAAAAGATACCAAAAGCAAACCAAACTCACTGCCGTTGAGTCAGATCTGACTCATAGCAACCCCTCCTTGGGTTTCCTAGGCAGTATCACTATGGAAGTAGATTGCCCAATCTTCCTTCCAAGGAATAAAACATAGTGCTATGAAATTGTACCTACAAATATAAAGCACATCTGCATTGATGTATAATGTTGGTAAGAACTCAAGAACAGAGTGATATTTTTATACTTAAAATTTATGCATTTACTCATCTCTCTAGGAGCTCTGGTAGTGTAGTGCCTAAGGTACTTGACTGCTAACCAGAAGGCTGGCGGTTCAAACCCACCAGCCACTCCTTGGAAGGAAGGTTGTATATAGGAAGGTCTAAATGTAGAAGTGAAAGAGCATAATGTATGCAACTCTCTCTCTCTAGTGGTTCAGAAAAAATGTAAATATAATAAATTAAAAAACTCTGAGACATCAAACATAGGGACAATTGGAGAGTCCACCACTTCCATGAATTCCCATAAGAAAAATTGAAGGTACAGGCACCAGAGTTAATTCAGTCCCTGAACTATAACAAAGCTTTGTGTTTACTATATGTGATTCACTGACTCATTCAGTTGATCTATCATCTATTTGAGAACCAGAATTCAGAAGTGAAAAAGCTGTCACAGGAATGTATATTAATACGCTTATTTGGATAATAATAATAATTTAAAAAAAGCGACTTTCTCTAACTAATGCTCCAGCTTTGGTACACTGATAGCAAAGAATTGAGTTGTATGGCAGATAGTCTTCACGCACTGTTCTGATTACCTAGTGCCACTCTGACAGAAATATACCACAAATGGGATGGCCTTAACAAACAGGAGTTTATTCTCTTACAGTTTTGAGGCCTTAAGTCCAAGTTCAAAATGCCAGGCTCTAGGGGCTAGGTGAAAGCCCTTCAACCTTGGGGTCCAGCTCTGCCTCCTGCTCACGGCCCACTGGAGCTAGAGGCATTTCTTCACTCAGACAGCTGCTGCCTGCTGAGGCTGAGAAGCCCCAAGGTTGACAAGTAAAAAGGCACAGTCCCGATGTTAACAAACCACACGGCAGGCCATTAACTTAAGTCCATTGTAAGTCCCAAGGACAGCAGAGCATAGCAGGCTGCTGAGCAACAATACGGCTACAAGCAGGGTCCAAGCGTGCCATAGGCTAGAGACCATTCCCAAGGCTTCCTTATATACAGGAAGCAGACCACATCCCAAAGACAGCTACTCAGCTGCTTGTGGTAGATCCCACCATGGAGTTGATTGCCAGTGTCATCATGGCAAATAACTACCACCAGCTGCCCAGCCACTCAACCAGGCCCAGCCAGGTTGACACATAAACTACCCCATGCACTAAGTGAACCAAATGTGAAGCTCCAATATCTTGACAAAAAATATATTTAAAGCAAGTACACACTTCATGGCAGAAGAAAAAGGAGATAGCAAGGCCACAAACAATGGATTTTAGTCAGGTAGGGTGGGAATTGGGGCATTTTAATATCAGAGAAGGGAAGAGAGGGTCTTATGAAAGTGTGAGTGATGATCAAGAATGGGTTGCTGCAGAAAGGTCAAGAAGGAGCAAGAGAGTAACTGGGTGATGAACCACCATGGATGGGGCTACGGGAGCACAGAGGAGGAACTTCTGAATCAGACCAGAGCAGCCTTGACCTCAGTAAATCAGGATTGAGGTCATCTGCTGAGAATGAGGGCATGCAATGGTAGGGTTTTGTCATAGGATGGGGAACATCATTGTGAGACAATAGGAGATTAGCATAAGGATTTGCTGAGAGCTAGGTGGGTGTACTAGTGGTGGGCCCTGCACTTTTTCTTTAAACTTTCTTCAGCAACATTTAGTATTAAGGGAACATAAATGTAAAGAGAGTTTAGAAGATGGAGGGGAAGGATGAGAGTTTTTTAGGGTAGTTTGCATCCTATCATTACCTATCATTGAAACTTCTAAATGGAAGCACCCAAGTCAAGTAGACAGTTAAACCCAAATTGCACTAGAGAACTAGGAAAGGGTGAAGAGATGGAAGGCCATAGTATGGACTGTAATCACATTCAGTAGGAATAAGCATGTAGGAGACATGAATTGTAAAGTAATTGTGATCATGCAGAGTATTCTCAGAGCCCAACGTCTTGAATGTCAAACAATTCTGAGCAAAACAAGATGCAAAATTTGTCCAAGCTGATGGGCAGCTATTAACAAGTGGGATAAAGACGACAAGACTGGGGAACCATGAACCAGTGTTGGAAAAGTCATCTCCATATGTGTTGAGGACTCTGATTAAGGGGTCAAGGATCAGAACCAACAGTGAAACAGGGACTGAAGTCACTGAAAGTGAAAGGATGTTCTGGAGCCTTGCACTAACAAGTTTAAAATGGAAAGCAGCTAAGTGAAAAAGTGGATGGAAAAAGGTTACTGAAGGATAGAAAGAGGAAAAATGATCAGAAGAGAGGAGGGATCTGAGAGGATAGGGAAAATACACAGAAAAGAAAACATGCCGTATTCTAGGAGCTTTATCTAATATCTAGGAGTCCTGGTGGCATGGTGGTTAAGTGCTCAGCTACTAACCAAAAGGTCAGTGGTTGAAACTCACCAGCTGCTCCACGGGAGAAAGTCGTGGCAGTCAGTATCCATAAAGATTGTTGTTTTACACTGTCAGTTGATTTCAATTCATAGCGTCCCTGTATGACAAAAGAGAACTACCCCATGGGGTTTTCTAGGCTGTAAGCTTCATGGAAGCCGATCACCTACTCTTTTCTCATGCATAATGGCTGGTGGATTTGAACTGCTGACTGGGTTAGCAACCCAGAGTTTAACCATTGTGCCAGCAGGGCTCCTTTCCTTGATTATATACAGCCTTAGAAACCCTATGGGGCAATTCTACTCTGTCTTGGCAATTCTACGCTGTCAGTTGGAATCAACTCAATGGCAATGAGTTTGGTGTTTCTGCTTTTATCTAATATCTCTTCAACAGTAATCCAATTGGTAGCTATTGGAAGGTTTAGTAAATTTCAGCCTTTAACTTTTAAATCATTCGCTCTGAGATCACCTTGTTCCTGTGAAGTCATTGTTAGGATGCATGATGAAACCCACTGCCATGGAGTTAATTCTGATAGTGACCCTATAGGACAGAGTAGAACTACCCCAGAGGGTTTTCAAGGCTGAAAATCTTTATAGAAGCAGACTGTCTCATCTTCCATAGAGTTGCTGGTGGGTTCAAACCGCTGACCTCTTGGTTTGCAGCCCAATACTTTAACCAGTATACCACCAGAGCTTCTAGAATGCGTGATAAGACACCATACTCATACATAAAACTAGATGTCGCTAAAGCAAACTTTTCTTTTGGTTGAAATGAAACTGCAGATAATGAATTATATGATAGATGTGCCTATATTGTTTTACTAATTTAAATTGCCAAAAGTGTACCATTGTCCTTATTTTTTTAACTGCCCATTCAAACAGACTCAAATGATCCTTGAAAGAAGCATCTAAATGTTTTCCTAATTTTGTATAATGGGTTTAGAACTAGAACCAATGAAGATGCTACTATCAAATATGATAAAGTATTGAGTTATTTGGAAAAAATATTTTAATTGCTTAGTTTTTTCTTTAGGAATAAAGTTAAAGATAGAATTATTGCCCAAATTGGAAAAAAAATAAAAAAGAAGAAGAATCAAATCCCAAGCTAAAAGTGACCAATATATTGGCCTGTGTGGATAGAGACCTCCTGTGTATATTTACTGTGCCCGAGGCTGCCCTGTTACCTTTATGATTATTAGATACTTTTGCCTTTGTGGGCCCCTTTCTCCATAAAAATTATGTATGTACATATAAATACACACACACACATACCAAAAAAACCAAACTCACTGCCATTGAGTTGGTTCCAGCTCATAGCAACCCCTCCTTGGGTTTCTGAGGTGGTATCACTACAGAAGTAGGTTGCCCGATCTTCCTTCCAAAGAGTGACTGGTGGGTTTGAACTGTCAGCCTTCTGGTTATATAAATTATATTTTATGGCTGCATTGACATAAAGAGAAATATATTATACATTAAAACATTTTTAAGTGTGAAAGTTCAGTGTGTCTTCTAATTTCAAAAGAAATAAAAACATTTCATGGGCCCTGGGCACTGTGCCTGGCAAGAAGTTGGCCTCGACTTGCCTTTTCTGCACTTTTTGGAGCATCACTGCCCAGTCTAGAGTGAAGAGATTGTGTTTGACTCCCACAGCTCCAACAGAGTACTCAAACTTGCAGTTGTTTTGATAAACACTGAACAGTAGTACATTGCATGAGGATAAAACTCTGTCCAAACTTCGGCCATTAAATCAGCCCAAATTCTCAGGCAAACAGACAAAAGGTCTCAGAGAAATGCTGTGCTTGCAAGGGGACTTTCTTAGACAACAGTCATCTGAAAAAGTACCCCTGCTTAAATGTTGGTGCTTTCGGCCGTACCAACCAGAAATGGCTGCAGCCCTAGTTTAATTTACTACAGCTCAAAGCAGCCAATTGCTCTGGTTGATTGTGAAAGCATTCAGAGTCACAAAGGAGAAGCTGAAGAATTTCTTTTGAAATTGTAAGCTCTCTCCATTCAGTGATAGACATTTCTAGACAAAGGAACAACGTTCACATTGACTAATTGGGGAGGACCCATATTAATTCAGTTTGTGCTGAGGCTATTGCCCTAAATGAGGAAATGAATCATCTGTGACCACAGTACTAGCTTTTATTTGACTGTGCTTACTTAATTTGCATTTTATATTAAATTCTCATTTCATTATACAGTGAAATTAAACTTTTATTTACATCAGAACCAAGATTAATTAACTTACCTTATCGTAAAATGGTAGCTTATTTGCATGGTTGGTGTTTTCGACCTTAGCAATATTCAGAGGTATGAGACTCAGTATCAAAGCCTGCTTCAGCTCATCTGTCTTCCTCTCTCTTCCCAGGCTGTGTTGGAGGGCCCAAGGGATCACCAGGCCTGCCAGGACCACAAGGCTCTACAGGTAAATCTGAGAGCACTTCCAGCTTTCTTAACATCTTCATTTTTCTTTTCCCTCTTCTTTGTTCATATTTCCTCTGCCCCAATCCGTTCCTCCCTACCTTTGTAACATTATAGTGCTCTGCCATCTTGGTATTTTACCACAAACTCGTAGTTTCCACAGGAAGTATACTTTTATTCATTGCTATTTAAAAACGTGCATGCTAAATTGGCATCTGGTTTAATCCAAGTCTGTGAGAGAAAACTGCTGCAAGGAAAACTCGTCCTCTTGTCATTTCTCATAAAAGGTGCAAAACTTGGAGGACACACAGATCGTGACAGAGACATAGAGTGAAGTCTCCTCTTTTAAGATTAGAAAAGAAGCTTACCTCTTTTTGTGGTTTTTTTTTTTTTTTTTTTTAGTATCACTTTATGTCCTTGGATGTATGGGAAGATCCTATGGGAGGTTTCTTTTGCATTTTGACTAAGAGAAAAACAGAAATAAACAAACCTAGGAAGTGTTGTCTCTCAATCTAGGAGGAACTGGGCTTTGGTCACTGGCATACACTGATCACCCCAAATAACAAGCACTCATGAAAATAAGTAAGGACTTTCTGTGACAGAGGCCAGTTGTTAAGAATCACCCATGGCTATTAGGTCTGTGGCATGGATTTCCAGTGCATATGGGACCTGGGAGACCACAGCTGCTCTGGTAACACCTACTTCTGACTTGGATTTTGTTCCCCAGTGGCTCTGGGGTTTCCATGGTGGTGAATGAGTATCAGGGAGCACAAAGCAGGAGACACTTCCATTGTGCCCCTTAATCACTGAAAACAAGACATGGAATGTGACATTGTAGGAATTTACTTTATCTCTGTCAGTAAGCAAGAAAAGTAGTACTCTGACTAAGGAAATAGGACTTCAGCTCAGAGAGAATATCCTTTTCATTTCTGTCCTTGGCTGACTTAGGCAGGGTAAGGGAAAGTACTTTGACACCCCACTAATTAAGTCACTCAGATCATTCAGTGTTGACACATGAGATGCAAATTCAGAAAACCTGCAGTGAAGTCCTAGTTATCACTTATTCTTTCCAGAACTTAGTCTCCTCAGCTGTAAAGCAGGAATAATACAGGTTCTAGACTCTTCCTACAACACAAATAATGCTCTTTATACTTCAGATGATAAACCGTGGCCAGGGTACTATGTAAAGTGCAAGCCTGTGTAAGTTATAAAGTAGCATAAACAACCCTCAGAATCAGAAAAGTATTTTTACCTTTTTTTTTTTTTTTAAATTGGAAAAGTATGTCAACTTGCTGTTTGTGTCCTGGACTTTAAAGGCTTCTTCCAGGACACAGTGCCAGACTTGGGAACAATAAAGACAAAATGCAAAAGTATCCTTTGCACCATGAAAGAGAGTTAAATGTCCTTTGTGTTGTTTTCTAAGAATGGACCAGTAGCTTCATGCCGTTGTCCATGGTAGTAGAGTCTGACCTTTCTCCCTGTTACAACTCTGAAGAAGTATGTCTGTTAGGATGTCTGTCATTTGGTTCCAACATGGTCACTAATGCAACCTTCCTCAAACTGGGAGTAATATCTAGGGGAGGGAACTTGGGAAAGGCCTCAGTAACAGCAGTGGGATCATTTTCACAGTAACTATGTGAAAGCAGGGCCCAAAATATACATAAACCAGAGGTTAAGGGAGAGGATTAAGGTAAATGTATTTTTATAACTTGAAGTTTAATGAGATCATAGGTTTAAAGAGCCAGTTTATCTAATATAGACTAATTTAATTTTAGGCTTATTTCACATTTGAATAATCACCTTTTAGACTAATATTTGAACTGCTAGCCTTCTGGTAAGCAGTCAGATGCCTTAGGCACTATGCCACTAGAGCTCCTAGACTAATATTTACTCTATAAGATATTTATATAAGTATTTTGTTCTATAATGCTTATCAAGTAAGTATTAGTCTATAAGGTATTCAGAAATACAAGGAACCTAAAATTAAACCTGAAAAACAATATTCTTTTGATATTGGGAATGCCTAAACTGCCTGCTCTGTCGTGTGTGTTTTAAGTTAATCTGTGCACTGATCTTGAACACAAATATATTTGCTTCTTGCTGAGTGCTGACATGGATAGTAAACAAACAGCTTGAAATTTGAAGTGTTGTTAGTTTGCTCTCATAACTATGATAATTTTGTTAGCAACATCTGCAAGATTTAGAGTTTTGTGGTTTCTGCTGAACTATAGTTGCAAGTCCTAGAACCCTGGGAATGATCAGGAGATTTAAAAAAGAAAAAATTAAAGCTCTACATTTTATGTAAACACGATGTTCCCTACTTCTGTTTTGTTGTTGGGTGTACCTGTGTGTTGCAAATGGCTAAGAAACTCGGCTACTAACTGAAAGGCTGGAGGTTCGAGTCCACTACAGGTGCCTTAGAAGACAAGCCTAGGGATCTGCTTCTGAAAAATTATTCATTAAGCTCTACCCTGTGTGTCATGACTCAGAACTGACTCAATGTCAACTGATTTTTTATTGTGCTATTGAGAGTCTAATTTTTTTTCCCTTAAGTGGGTCCTCATTTATCTTCAAATTTCCTCACTCTTACTAAAGCAGAACGCTTTGACAGTCTTGGATCTTAAAACCAAATTCACTTGTGTGTCACAGAGATATTTTTAAATTGGAATTGAGGTTTACAATAATGATTTCCAGCTTACAAAAAAAAAAGTAACAGTGCATCTTGCACATGATGGTCTCCTGGGAGTGTTATATCCTGTTGTCTTGAAATGTCAATGGATTTTAGAGGCAGCATTTTGGTATTTTGTGGCCTGGTATCAAGTTTAATTAAAATTCCTTTTAGGCCTGACTGGGGTTCATTTTAGGAACTGACTTATGAGTTGAGCTCATCTAATATATTGTCCAACTCAGAGCAATTTCAAAAATGTGTATTTTATTGTATTTTATTTAACATTATATTCATGTGGAACTTCATAGATTGAAAGTTCTTTTACTGTGTTTATCAATACCATTCATATTTATAGAAACTGGAGTTATAAATATAGTCCTAAAAACCTGAGTTTGGCTGAACTTCTGTTTCCTCATGAGAATTATAATCTTAGAGAAGCTTAATCTTCTGCAGCATAGAACATCTTTTTTTTAAATCCATTTTATTGAAATATAATTTATGTACAGTGAAAAACACAAAACTAAGGTGACATGGGTCAGTGCATTTTTTTTTTTTTTCAGTGTTCCCTTCCCTCCCCTCCCACCCCTGGCAACCAACGAAGAAAGTTTCCCTGCATATAACCTTTCCTTGACCCTCTACAACAATGAACTAATACTATATTTGTCCTTCTGTGATTGACTTAATTCACTCAGCATAATGTCCTCCAAGTTCATCCATATTATGCAGTGTTTTGCAGACTCTACATTGTTCTTTAGTGCTGCATAGCATTCCAATATGTGTATGTACCATAGTTTGGTCATCCACTCTTCCGCTGATGGGCACGTAGGTTGTTTCCATTGTTTCCATCTTTTTGCTGTTGTAAATAGTGCTGTGATGAAAATGAGCATGCATGTATCTGCTCCTATCCTGGCTCTCACCTCTCTAGGATATATACCTAGTAATGGGATTGCTGGGTCAAATGGTATCTCCAATTCCAACTTTCTAAGGAATCGCCATATTGCTTTCCACAGTGGTCCTGTCACTTCAGTCACACATGCAGTGTATGAGAGTCCCGATCTCTCCACATACGCACCAGCATTTGTTATTTTCTGTCTTATTGAACTTTGCTACTAGTGCTGGAGCAAGATGGTATCTGGTTGTTTTGATTTACATCTCTCTGATGGCCAATGATTGTGAGCATCTTTTCATGTATTAGCTGACTACCTAAA